AAAGAACAGATTAGAAGCCCTCAACATTCAAGGATGTGTTTCAGTGAGTCCCCATACTTGTGAAGATGTGAGCCCCACTGACTGATGACACAGAGGCCCTACCCCTGTGCCTGCAGTTTACCCGAGAAGGCAGCAGAGGTCTCCCTTGGCCTCAGAAGGCTTCGGTGGTCCTTTTGGCCCTGCCTTCCCCAGGCTGCTCTGAGCCGTGCCTCTCCTCTCTCCTCTCCTCCCCTCCCCTCTCCTCTTTGTAGTCCCAAACTTGGAAGTGAAGTCAGGGCAGATTGCTCGCCCGAGACTTCCCTGATGCTATGTGCATCAATCCCAAACCAAGGTACATGTCACAATCCCTAGTGTGTAAATAAGACAAAGCAAGGATGCGGGATTCCAGGCAGCTAGCCCAAGGTTGCTCACCTTGAAGGATGGTTCTCTGACACCATCACCAGCAGATCAAGCCAGAAACTGATTTACCACATTGGACTCCCAACTCCCTGGCCTTGACCTTGATTTATTGGATAGTTGTTTCCTCCCAGAGAGAGGCTCTGTAACTCCTGAGCCTCCTGAGCTGAGTACCAATGCAGCAGGTACAGGAATTCCCATCATTAGAATAGCCAGAGAGAATCAGAGTAACATCTCAGATGGCTGCTCCCTCGTTCAAAGCCCACCACGTCCAACAGCAGAGGGGACTGGGTCCCAGAAGCTCAGCTTGGCAGAAAGGGGGAGGTCTCATCCTGCCGATAGGTGGCTGGTTTCCATCTAAACCCTTCCAGACAGGCTGCCTGGCTGGTGTTCCTTCATTCCTGAGGATGCAATGACCCCATGTGGCCATTGCTGAGCATAGCCGCCTGCAGGGTGTGACAGCTATTTCTCCATCAAGCTTCTGTGCGTTGAGCTTTTAGGAGAGTTTGTCCCTAGCCCCCTTGACTGTGAGACCACAGCCCCCGGCGTGGTCTGAGCACACCCCTCAGCCATTGCTGGAGAAGATGTGAACATCATTGTGTTCAAGGTGACTGACTCTTGGGTCTGCTTTTCCCTGCAGGATCCTACCCTCACCCCTTCCCAGCCCCTCCCAGCATCTTAGGAACAGGTGAGACCAAGGGAATTGTGTGACCCGTAGACGCAGGAGATGGAAATGAGAGACTTTTACACAGAACTGGGAGGGTCGACAGGGATTGGTTCAAGCCACATTCACGTTTATAAGTGCAAGTGGACCAGAAGCACTGGAGGAGAAGTTTCTCCTAATGCCACCCCAGATGATATGTATGGATGGGGGAGGAATTGCCTGTGGCGGCCACTGACATGTGCTGAGCTTGACACAGCTTAGGAAGGGTTTTTATCCCTCCCACACCTGATCTTAAGTCCCCTGAACATAGGTAGGTGGTTTGGTGGGGTATGTCCTCACCTGCTTCTGTTTCCCCGCACCTCACTTCCATTCCTCCGGCTATAAATAAAACCTGACTGAGACACAGGGCAGAGAACTCTGAGCCACTACTCCCCCTAGTGCCTGTCTGGTTCTTTTCTGAAATGGCAAATAAAGTCAATTAAAATACTCCAAAGCCAGACTGCTGTAATTTATCCTTTAAGAGTCGTAAATGTGAACTCTTAACTGTAAATGGAAGGAATGTTCTGGAACATTCTTAATTGAAGAAGACATGCAGCCACTATTTGAAATAAGAAAGGAAAGAACAGGGGGAAGAAAAGCAAGACCTATTTTCCTCTAAACCCTTCTTTTCTTTGCCCAACTGCTGCTCCCCCAATCTCAAGGAGAAACTCTGCTGTGAGTGAGTGGGGACAGTGTTGGCAATAGTGGCCGGTCTGCCATATACACGTCATATACAGATAGACCTGCACAGACTTGATCTTGCAGCTTCCAAATCTCAGAACTAAATGACTTTCTTTTCTTTTTAAGAAGAGATTTGAGTGTCTTCTGGCCTGGAGATAAAGAAACCCCAAAGCATGGGAGGGCTTCCCTGTTTGCCTCAGTCAGTCCCCTGAGTTTGGAGGGCTTAACATTGACTAAGGGAAGACCACACAGCCCTTGGTTGTGCCCCTGGTTGATCTTTAATTGCCAATACCCCTCCATGTTTGATGTGGCCACTAGATATTCCTCCAACCGTTACTAGCTTTTGCTCTCAACAGCCTGCAGCCTGTCTATTCCACATCTATGAATGACGTCAGAGCTGAAAAACACCAGCTGGACTGCGGTATGCAGAATGGTTGTTAAGGAGAGTCCCAAACTGACATTGATGGACGAGAAAGGGAGGAGGTGTGGGTCAAGGGAGCAGTCAGGTGACAATGCCAGTCTGTCAATAACCTCAATAGCCAGAATGATCCATCAGTGATGGCCCGTGTCAGGCGGAGCCCAGCCTTTATAGACCCATATCGATCAGTCACAGATGTGAGCTGCTTAGGAAGGAATAGAGAGCAGGGGCTGTGGACAGACAGCATGTCCGGCCAGTGGCCAGCAGGCAGTGCTTCATTGTAAGAGCCAGGGCAGTACATTCTCAGGCTAGCTACAGTCCACACTAAGCCTCTTTGATTTGCTTTTAAGTGTGGATTCTGGAAGAATCTCCGGCAAGATCTCTGTTGACTTCCTTCTTAGGAGAAACTCAAGGAGGCAGGGTGTGGGTACATGGCTCGGTGGCAGAACAGCTGCCCAGTCATGCGGGAATTCCTGTATTTGCTATCTAGGACCTTAGAGAAAGAAAATAATAGAGGGGGGTTGAATACCAACATCTTTGGCTGTGCTGCTGGTCCCAGGGCTATAGCTGGTGTCCCACCGTTCCCATCTATACCATCCAGTCTGCCCTTGCCCTCAGCAATGTCTCAGCTATTCCCAGGGGCTTTACTGAGAAGTGTGAGCCCCTCATCTTCCATCTAGGGTGACTACACCTGGTTATTACTCTCTACACCTAACAGAGACATCTCAGGGGTCACCTCCATTCCACACTTCTCTTCCCCAGCGTGTGACAGCAGCTGGGCAATCCCTTCCTCTTTCTGGTTAAACACCTTTCCCCCGCACCGGAAGGGCAACTGCTCCTGGTCATCCTTAAATGTCCAGCTTGAAACTTAAGGTTGGATGTGTGATTCAGCTAGCTTTGGTCATCTTTTCAGACAGAAGTCTCCCTTGAGAAGCAGCTGTTTCGAGCTTTCACCAAGGGCTTTGGAAAGCACTTATGTTCCAAGAGGTTCCTGGGAATTAGAAGTACCACTCGTTGGTTCTCAGACCCTCGGGTCCTCCTCTACGGGGACAGAATACTTTGTAAAGTTGATTAACCCTAAGTGTCTCCTGCATTCTGGAGAGTGGCATTCTGTTCTGTTTGTTTGTTTTTAAAGATTTATTTATTACGTATACAACATTCCCTACATGTATGCCTGCATGCCAGATCTCATTATAGATGGCTGTGAGCCACCATGTGATTGCTGGGAATTGAACTCAGAACCTCTAGAAGAGCAGCCAGTGCTCTTAACCTCTGAGTCATCTCTCCAGCCCGGCATTCTGTTCTTGTATCTCTGAATTGGCCCTGTGCCATTATCAGGCCACCCTGACTTCCTGTGAGCCTAGGTGGGTCCCATAATGTAGTCCCCTGGACACAGTTCTCATACCTTTATTCTATAAGGAGGATCTCCAGTCCTTTGAGAGTGACACAGGATACCCAGTGCCGACAGAGAAGCACTCTGGGAGTACTCTGGCGGCACTTCTAAAGATCTCTGTGGTCAGAACAGGCAGGGGATCTGTCTATTTCTACTAGAATGAGCCACCGGCCTTAATAAGGTGAAAGGAATCCGCTGTGATGAGTTTGTTGCAAGCTCAGACTTGTCTGTTGTGGCAAGTTGGGGACTTGTACGGTACAGCAGTAATTATGAAAACTTTGTCAAATGAATGCCTGCACCATCGGATTCCTTCACGGCCTCCACCCTTCCCACCATTGAGCCAGCACTGGGTGGCCAATGACTGAGACATCTTGTGTATTAGCTCACGAGGCACCTCTTCTGTGGGGGAGGATGGTTTCCAGAAAGCCAACACAAAATATGATAGTCATCCTTCTCTGTCTATTGTCCACAGATGCTCCAACATGCCTCTGCATCAGACCCCGTCCCAAGCTTTCCAGGCCTTCCAGGTTCCTAACACCAGACGAACTATTTGGTGCTGCCTGAGAGGCCATCTATATTCTGATTTGGCCTGCTTTCCTTCACCCACAGAGTAAAGGAGCAGGTGCCCTGCCCTCTGTTCTGCCCACGATGAGGCTTATCCTACACAATTCTTTCGAGACTATCCATGAGTGAGGCCATATGGGGCTGTTATTGTTTAAATTACACATCTACACAAAGCCCACTTGAACACCAACTAAACTTGGCCATTTTCTTCTCCGTGTCTGCTCTTATCCGTAACATAGCATGGCTATGAAGTGGTAAGTGCCGCTGGTCCATGAAAGCCTCTGGTTCTGCCTATGTACAACTGGATATTCCTTCTCCATCTTCAGATGGATTCTTGCTGCCCCATGCCACTGAACCTCATCTGCTCTTCATCACAGAAATGATCTTAAAGGGTAATGATTTTTATTGCTGTTTTCTTTAATCCGGGTCTCACACAGCCCAGGTTGGCCTTGAATTCACCATTATAGTTAAGTTTGATCTTGAATGTCTGAGCCTCCTGCCCCATGTCCCAGGTGCTGGGAGTACCCACATGCACACACCATACCCAGTTTATGTGGTTCTGGGGATCAGCTCCGGGCCTTGTGGATGCCGGGCAAACATTCTACCACTGAGCTCCATTTTCAGCCCCATAGAGTGTGTTTTGTGTGTATGATGAAAAGTCACTGGTAGCCTATTCCCTAGTTAGATGGAGTAGTAGTTAAATAGTGGACTGGTTCCACATATCTACTGTGTTGAATAGCATTCCTCCAAAATTCATGTCGAAACAGAACCGGTGAATGTGGCTGTCTTGGTTAGCTTTTCTATTGCTGTGATAAAACACCACAACCAAAACCAACTTAGAACAGAAGGGTTTATTTGGCTTACAGGTCACAGTCTATCACTGAGGGAAGCGAGAGCAGGAACCTAGAGGCAGAAGCTGAAACAGAAACCATGCAGAAGTGCTGCTCACTGGCTTGCTCCCCATGACTTGCTTAGCTGGGTTTCTTATATCCCCAAGACCACCTGCCCAGGGGTGGCACCACAACCACCAGATCAGGTTTTCCCATATCAAACATCAGTTTGCTTGCCCACAGGGCATTTGCATGTGGGCATTAAGAAAACTGAGGTTCCCTCTTCTCAGATGACTGTAGCTTGTGTCATGTTTATAAAACAAGCCAACAAACACACACAACCAACACAGCGGCCTTATCTGAAAACACCGCTGTTTTGCAGATGGGATCAAGTCAGAGGGCGTGCTCTGTAAGGAGAAGGCCATAGGAGTGAGCACTTAGCGAGCAGAAGGCCACACACTAATGAATTGAAGTCCTAGATGTTTATCGAAGAGCCAGGGTACATGGGAGATGGCTAGAAGATGCAAGGGAAATTCTCCCAGAAACTCACAGGATGCATGGCTCCACCACCATCTTGATTTTCATCTTCTAACTTCTACAATTGTGGAATCATGTATTTCTCGTGTTTTCAGCCAGAAGTCTCTGGCGGTTTGTTAGGACCACACCAGAAAGCTAATTTAATATCTTGCACAATCTAGACATTTACCTCGTTATCTGGGAGGGATTATTTACTAAAGAACTGTTACAACATTGTATATGTACGTTTTATCTATCTCAACTATCACATATTAGATACACAATTTCAATTCATTAAAATGAACAGGCAAAGAACACAATGCGGTAAACATTACAACATTTAAAACTGTCCTTGTGTAAGAAACGTACTAACACATCTCTGCCCCAGTCTCAAACAAGAAACAAGAGAGAAGCTGGGTGAATATTCCATATTATATGAATATTTCACTACTGATCTGTAAAGAGGCAGAAGTCTTGACGTTCATTGATATGGACTTCACTCATTCAAACCTGTTCTGAAATAAATTACACACAAGTCACAGTTGGTAACAATCACTTCACGAGTACAACATCAGCTGTTAACATGGTGCAGCGTAAATGGATGAGCTGTGAGCATGCAGCTTTACAGCCTACATATTAACTGCTTTTCCAAAGTTCAGCTACATAGCTAAAACATGAGCTTTGGGACTGTCTGCAATTCTGCAAACAGGTTTTACACATCTAGGGTAGCGAAGGTCTCTTCTGTTGTCTGAGGCTATTACAAGTCGCCACTGTTAAAGCCTTAGCCCATGCAACAGAACTCATGTAACACCTCCATGCCTGACTTGAGTGCTTCCCCCACACAACCCTAGGCAATGGGCCTCTCATCTGTAGAGAACCTGGAGCATCTACTGTTTCTCTCAATGGCATTCGTCATTCACTTGTTTGTAAATTCAGACCCAGGTACAATTTAGAGAGCATGTCCTAAGCTTGGCTGAGGGCAGTGGTGGCACTTTAACTTCATTATGTTGTGCTACTGAAACATTCTGACAACCAGATTCCCCGAGAAGCCCCGGACTACTACTGTGTGCTGTGTGGAGGTGTGCAACGGAACAGAGTGTGGGTGGAACAATCATACCACGGTCCCTTTGGTACCAAAATCCGAACACTTTGGTTGTTCTTCTTGGTGGCATTGTGGCATGGGATTTTACACTAGAACCCTGGGGAGGAGAAGACTCGAGAGAGGCCGACAGAATCAGGATGAACAACATAACGGCTCTGAGTTCAAGAACACAACCAGTTCTAACTTTAAACAAGTCAGAGGTGAGAGTAAAATTTTCCAAACACTAACCCAGCATAGACACCGGAGACACTACGATCACACCAGCTGGACGCTTCCAGATGGAAACAGGAACAATATAATATCCAAAAGAAGGAAGGAAGGAAGGAAGGAAGGAAGGAAGGAAGAGAATAAGTCAAAATCTATTCATTTTCATGGGCAAATTCCAGTAAAGGGTTTCTGCCACAGGAGTTCCAGTTTTGTTTTACTTGGTCAGACGATGTCATAAATGTCAAGAAGACATGACCTGGCAGTGCATTGAAACTGCTTGCTCAAAGGGCTTTTAGCCTCTTTTTAAGATGACATTGAAGATTCATAGTAAAGGAGATGGGTGTTGTATTCTAAGTCCCACGGTGAAGTTGAATTTCAGTTATTGGCAAGCACAATAAAATACATTATCACTGCAATCATAAGGCCTTCCTAATAAAATGCTTGATGGGTTTGATAAACCATCAAGATTTCACACCATAAAATGTACTTAAAAAAAAAAAACAAAAACAAAAACAAAAAACCCAAAAAACAAAAAAACCCCAAAAACCCCACCCCTTGAATGGGCGAAGCAAAAGCCGAACTCGTCACTGGAATTTGCTCAGCAGGGTCTTGTCTGTCAGGATGCTCACCTTACAGACGAAGCAGCCAGCTCAGCACAGCAGTAATGTCTGGGTATTCCAATCCATATTCCCAAACCATGCTGGAGGCCAGGAATTACACCTAGCATTATCAGACTGGAAATTCCCAGTTGAATACACATCCAATGCACATACAGTTTCAATGCATTTCGATTACACTTTCGGGGTGTTTATAAATATATAGTCTCAAAATAGCTGTTATTCTCAGTCTTTTCTATACACAAGATACATATTACATTTGTAACACTCATTTAATTACGACATGCAATTTATAACACCTGGAATTATAGCAGGACATGAAACACGAACACAGCTCTGTCCAGTAATTATGACTTCGTGGGGGGAAAGACTGGACAATGATTCATTTACAAATGAGTTCACCGCAGCAAACAGAGCCCAGGTCTATTTTTGGCGTGCTTGTATTCAATAGACCTGTTTCCACTTGAAAGTGTGGCTCTCACTACCTGGCCACTGGCACACACGTTCTCCATCTATCATCTCAAGACACTGACTAGGAATGTCATCACCTTCAACACCTACATCACATGTCAACCGTGTGTGTGTCCCATGCTGGTAGTGGGCTGGACTCTTGAAATGCCTGCTTTGAAGAGGTTCTCTCACGGGACTCCCCACTGTACCTTCCACTGGGGGTTCAGACTAACCTTGAACAGTGCCAGAGTCCCACAGGCAGACTTGGAATGTGTGAGAAAACTGGTATTTGGCATCTGTCTCATTTATCACATTACTGACAAGCATTTTACAAAGAGCAATGAGGAGGAGGGGCACCGGTCCCCGCCTGCAACTCAGAAACACACAGGGGCTTCCAGCAACCTTCACACAGAGGAAACTCAGTTATCTCCCTGTGCGTTGTTGGCCATCTCTTGGCGACTGTTCATCTTTTGGGTAATGATGGCTAGGATTCGCCGAATGGCAAGCAGCCGCTCTTTCAGGGAGGCCATGCCGAGAATGGCCACCTGAGCCTTGCGTTCCAGCGGCAACACGGCCAGAATCCACCAGGACCAGGCGGGGCCGATAGCGGTGCTCTGTCAAAGACACGAGGAGATCAGCAAAATTAATGTCCAGAACATGGGCTGTTCCCTAATTCAGCTTTTTGTGTAACTAGCAAGCAAAGGCAAGGATGCCACCTTCTGCTGTAGGAACAGGTCAGAGTTCACCAGGCCCTGAGAATGCAGAGTTCCTGTTGAATGTGAGCCACATATTCCAAGGTGCAAGGAAAGGACAAGAAAGGAAACTTGCTGAGAGAAGCTCATTCCACAGAGAAACTCCATGGATTATCCATCTCTGTTCTCCCAAGTGTTCAGATAACGATGCTCACCCACCAGAAAGAAAGATCCTAAATGTCACCTCCAGGTGCCAATGTTGTATGCTATTGCTCTTCAAGTTTTAAGTGGGCTAGCTAAGGCACAATGTTATAAAGGTCAAAAGTATTTGGACAAGTTTGAGTGCCATGGGAAAACCGAACTTAAAGTCAAAGTGGCAAAGTGTGTAACACACGTATGCACACATCACTGTATGTGGTAACTCTTGTGAACTTTTATGTGTAGATAACACACTTCAGTTTTGTTTAGGTACATGTGCATACGCACATTAGCCTTTACTTCACATAATCAAATGAGCATTCTGGGCTGAACTCTAAGCCAACATCGATTCTCAACTGGTTTCTGTTCACGGTGCTGGAATAAAGACATTTAATCCCAAGCCCGTTTGCTTACAAAGTTTAAATTCTCTTCTATTCCCTTTAAAGAGGTACCAACCAGGAGCTAGGGAGAATGGACCGAAGTGGCTTTAGCTTTCGAGTTCGATAACTTCACTGGAGGGTAAGAAATAAACCATGAACCAAAGCTCAAAGGGGCATCTCAAGTAACTGCCAAAAAGATCCTGGCCTGCCCTTCAGAGGTGACCTATAATCTCAATTCTCCCCTTCTCTTATCCCTCAAGACAAAATGCTTAATGAGAAGCACCTCATGAACAATATCCTCCCTTAACTAAAATCCTTGTCATTGCAGGATAATGGTCTCCAAAGATTTCAGTGTCTGGGACTGTAAGTGGAAATGGGGGCTGTTGAAGATGTGGCCAAGTTACTACAATGGGAAGATTATCTTAGTTGACCGATGGAGCCGCATGGATCCTTCCAGGACTATGGCCAGGGGAGATGTGACATGAAGAAAGGAACTGGAGAGTGGCTGGCTTAATAGTGCCAAGGAAGGCCATCTTCAGAGGCTGAGGATGCCAGAAGCAGTCTCTCCTACAACCGCAAGGGGGCGACGCGCACTGCTATTGCTGCGTCAGGCTTGGCGAAACAAACGCCAGTAGGGCTTCTGACCCACACGTTCTGTCTGGTAATACACGGGCACTGCTGCCGCCACAGCAGGGGTAGGAAGTAACTCTACCCACCAATTAGAGATTAACTTGAATTGATTAGTGTAACTGCTTTCCTTTTGAATCCGAGACAGTACAGTGGGGAAAGGGAGTGGTAAGAAGGGGTGGCCAGGAAGGAATGGAGGTGATTTTAGAATCTAAAGCAGGGCCTCCTAAACTTGAGCTACTCATGACATTTTTAACCTAAGGATTTTTTACAACTCTAGGCACAGAGGTACCCTGCATCTGCTAATACAAATCAAAAATAAATCATAAATAGATTATTCTTAAACAATTCTTTTATATAATTGTAACATTTATTAAAGGTTAAAGTAAATTCAACACTAATTAGATATGTGTGATTATTTATTTTTACACACAATAAATAAATCTTGGCTGAAATACTGAATATAGAGCACTGTCAATGTTTTTCAGAACCAAACGAAATTCTGAATTTACACAGCTATCAATGTTGAGAATGCCAACTTCATATAAATACAGCATGTTTGGGGCCATTTCAGAAAATGCTCAAAATATTGTCCTAATCCCAAGCCAAAATTCATTTATTGATTTTTTTTAAATGAGATTCAAGCTAGCAACTGTCCTGATTAGCATCATCTGTTGCACTGGCCCAGCCTGGAGTCGTCTGAGGGATTCTCAGTTGATTACCTAAGTCAGAGCGGCCCGTGGCCACAAGACAGTCTCTGAAGCACTGTCTCTGAGCATTAATTGATGCAGCTGGGCCCAGCTCACTGTGGGTGGCACCATCCCTAAGCAGGTGGCCTGAATCATATAAGAAATCAGCTGAGCACGAGCAGGCGAGAAACCAGTGAGCAGTATTCCTCCACGGTTCTGCTTCAGCCCCTGCTCGACTCCTTGCCTGGTTTCCCTCAGTGATGAGTTGGGACCAAGAAGTGTAAGTCAAATAAACCCTTTCCTCCAAAGTCTCTTTCGGCCAGCGGACGTCATAAAGCGACAGGAACGAAACTAGAACAGCAACTCAAACAATTTTTCAAGTCAAGCATTCTAACCAAAGGCACACTGATGTGACAGAGACCAAGAGACTGCCGGCAAATTGTTCTCTCTCTCTCTCTCTTTTTTTTTTTTTTTTGGTTTTTTCGAGACAGGGTTTCTCTGTGGCTTTGGAGCCTGTCCTGGAACTAGCTCTTGTAGACCAGGCTGATCTCGAACTCACAGAGATCCACCTGCCTCTGCCTCCCGAGTGCTGGGATTAAAGGCATGTGCCACCATCGCCCGGCCGGCAAATTGTTCTTAATGCTCACATTTAGTTGTGTGACCCCCCATAAGGAGTTACAAGAAACAGCACTGAAGCAGAGGGTAAAGGAAAGATTCACCCAAGAATCGGAAGATGGAAACAGATGGGGAAAGACAAAACGCATTTCACTTTATACGAAACATGTTGAAAGCTGGCCCCTCCCACTACATGCACGATTTCTGCCATCCAGAGGCTCACACAGAGCAGCTGGAAGGAACTATGTACTTCGTAAGCATTCTGCACCTGAGCAGCTCTGTCATTAGAAGGTGATGCATTAGAGCTTAGATACACACCACAAGCTGCCCATCTGCTTCCTGAAGGGTCAGTTGCAACAAAAACTACTGGGCTGTCAGTAAGGACCTAAGGCTTCCAAGACAGCGATGGCTGTGGGGTTTTCTCTTCAGGCACTCAACATCTTGCTTGGCATGCGCAAGACAGAGATGAAGCATGGTGTTCTGAGCTAACGGAATGATTTTTGTTTGAGGTGATCTTCGTGCACGGATAGAAAACGTTGATCTAGCTACTCTGCTACACAAGGCACAGGCTGCTGTACTAAGTCTTCTTTGGGAAGCTAGAACTCAAGCTGGCTCACGGTCACGACGGCACACAGTGCTGCGCTGCTGAGTTTATCACAGAATGAGCAGCCTTGTCACATGACCATGGGAAACAGCAGCATGACCAGAGAAGGGAAGAAAGCCTACCTGTGCCTCAGGCTCCCTGTCTGGCATCGACCCAAAAAGGTTTAGTATTTTCGTTTTCATGGGATCCTGGAGAGAAGCAAGCCAGGAAACAACTTCCTGGTACACTGACTCATGGAGGGCGGTGAGTTCTTCATACTCTGGACCTTCCACCTGGCCAGAGAAGACAGAGAGACATTTCAGTAATCCATGCAGACATAGGCCTCTGCACACTGGTAACCTCTGACAGGTAGGTGGATTTGTGACATCTACTTCTTCACTAATGACACAAAATGACATGTTTACTATAGAAATATTTGCTTTTTAATAAGTCTGAGATCTACGAATTGCACCCTGGTTCTTCTCTTAAGATTCTAATGTGAGCACGTATCCAACGTTATAAATAACTGTCCATGGGTACAGATTATGTATCTGATATATAATAAGTTATTTACCCATATACATAAGATACACTTTGAATATCCTGACATTTTATTTTTAAAATGATTTTTAAAATGCCAGTAATACAAATATGCATACAGAGGAACCAACAAGACAATAATACCAAGTAAGAATGTCCAGTACCAAGCCTGACAACCTCATTTTGGTCATCAGAACCCTCGTGATAGAAGGGAAGTACAGATTCCTGCAGGTTATCCTCTGATCTCCACATGCACACTGTGTGTGCGCACACAACACAACAAAGAAATAAATATACACAAGAGAACTTTTTGTTGGGTATTGCAGAACAAGGAATCAGAGCTAGTATTTTACAAACCATTTTCCTAATACCAAATCACACTCCAGGAGCTGTGCTGGGCGGCACCATGACCACCAACAATAGCAACTGCTCAGCCATACTGCAGTGTGTTGTGCCTGGCATCTGATACTCCTCACTGTCCAGCCAATCATTTGGCTCCACCTCAACCCTGCTTAGGATGATCTGGCAGAGCACGGGACTAGTGATTGGGCGTGTCTTAGCTTCACTGTCGGCTATCATGTATGTGTGTCAGTCAAGATCACAGCTTTGTAAAGCAGAATAAACCATCCAGGTCTTTTCTGGGTAGAAAACTCTTGAAGCTACAAAATCCACAGAAATTGTAACAGACAGAAAGAACCATCATAGGTTTGACTTACACAGATCAACATTCATATGTAATTGGGATTTTCTTTAAAATTACTTCATAAGCATCTTTTAAAGCCAGTTTTAAAGTAAATCCATACCGCAATAAAAATAAGGTGTCATTGGGCTGGAGAGATGGCTCAGTGGTTAAGAGCATTGCCTGTTCTTCCAAAGGTCCTGAGTTCAATTCCCAGCAACCACATGGTGGCCCACAACCATCTGTAATGAGGTCTGATGCCCTCTTCTGGTCTTCAGGCATATACACAGACAGAATATTGTATACATAATAAGTAAATAAATAAATATTAAAAAAAATAAGGTGTCATTGATGGCAATACTAATAACGCTTCATTAGATCTGTTGTCAGTTCCGTAGGACGAGCCTGAGAACTTCCACACTGGATCAGTCTTTGCAGCCAGCCCCATGGTCCAGGGGTCCTGGAGTTGGGCACCCTGAGGTCACTTTGATCTTTGAGGCTCTCAGGGCCTTAAGCCACCAGAAGTGGCAGCTGGGATCAGATGGAACCAGTACTCCGGGCATGATCCCACTTGAATGAACATGCGTCTACGTCTCCAGTGTGACTTCTAGTGTGATGTGAGAGGGTACATGCTTTTATATCCACATTTCAGATTTGCGGCAAAAATGGAAAAGAGGGATACAATAATCCAAAGTATTTCCTCTCACTAAGCATTCCTAATTTTGTTATAACAAAATTTATAGACCCCTCCCTCTCTGCCACAGATCTGGTGGGGCTCAAGGAATCCTGTCAACTGCACAAGGCCGCACAACCACCACGCCAGCCCCTGTACGAGGAAGCCAGCACCCTACACCAGACAGAGAACACAGCTACTACCCAGAAAGACTCCCCAGCCCCATCCCAATCAGATGAAAAGTCCACCTTGCAATTCCGACTTCTGTCCAGGCCACGTGTTTCCTGTTTCTGGAAGTAGTCAATAAGACAAGGCTTTTGCCTGCTGTCTGTGTGTAGCGAATATGCAGTGTGCAGCCTCCCATGATTGGTTCCCCTCTCTGCCTGGCTGTAGACTCACCCATGCTGACAGAGCACTAGTTCGTTAGGTTTTGTCTCTGATAAGTCTCTACTGTAGGATGAACTGGAATAGCTCATCCATCTGCCCGAGGGGCATCTAGACCACCTCCACTTTCAGCTACTGGCGAGGCAGTATGGACATCTCTAAACATCTTCATGAGGACCTGTTCAAAACACTTTGCTGATTTGTCAGAATATGTGCTCTGGCATTTCTGTAAGATAAAAATATTTCCCGAAGGGTGAGAGATTTTTATACTCGCTTTGAAAGGCTCTTTCAAGCACGACTGTTTTGTGTTCGACCTCACTCTGGACCATATGAGGAATCACCGCTGGGACTCAAACGCTGGCCGTCACCACATTGTTAGCCCTTTCCCCGAGGTATGTATTTTATATGTATGGGTGTTTTGCCTACATGCATGTCTGTGCATTTCTGGGGAGGCTGTAAGAGGGCATCTGCTTTCTTGGAACCTGAGATACAGAAGGTCACAAGCCACCATGTGAGTGCTGGGAATCGAACTTGGGTCCTCTGGAAGAGAAGCCAGTGCTTTTAACCACTTAGCCATCTCCCTGGCAACTCCCACCATGTCTTAATAAATAACATTGTATTGAAAACCAGTCTAACACAGTCCTTTACACATGGCCTATTGCTGCTTATTAATCCTAAGAATAGAAACTAGTTGCAGCAGAGACCACATGTCTTGCAGGGTCTAAAGCACAATCATCAGTTAGTGTCTAGGAGAACCGAGCCAGAATATCTCCCGCAGATACCCAAGTCTATATAAAATGATGTACCACTTACATAAAGCCCACACATGTCCATCCCCCTTATAATCTGAGCCATCTATAGATTACTTGACCTACTAGAAACAGTTGTTACACTCTATTGTTTTGTTTTGGAGACAGTGTTAGGCAACGTTGCCCAGGCTGGCCTCACATGTGGGTTCATCATTCCTTCTTCAGTCTAGAGCATCTAGGACTACAGGTGGATGCTACGTGCAGTTATACCCTGCTGTTTAGGGAATAACGGTAAGACAAACATGTCTATACATTTGTAGAGGCATAGTTGTTTTTGTAATGCTCAATGCACCATCAACTGACTCTATGAAGAAACCAGAGACAGAATTGTCACCTGATATGTGTCTGGTCTTTATAGGAAAAGTGTGTCAGTCCCCAGCCTCAAATATCAAACATGGAACCACAAGCCCAGGCTCCCTAAGGGCATTTCAATGTAGGAGATTTCTCTACTAACTTTAACCCAAGTGAAGATGCAACAACTCAAGTGCTGGATTAGGACGCAAATAACACTGTAAGCACAACAGAGAGGAAAACAGAATGAGGCCCTGTAAAATGACCCTCACCTTCTCGTCTTCCAGGTATTCGATGTCCGCAGTGTTATAGCCATCCCTGTGGCGGTGGCTGAGCACTCTGAAGCGGCTAATCCCGACTGCATCCACAATGGAGCTTCCGTCGGGGAAAGTTCTGATGTCCTTTATCTCCAGCATGCAGCCGAACTCCGAAATCCTGAAAGGACGGGTGGGCGGGGAAAGAGGCAACTGTGTGATTAAATTCAGATGCCTTCCTTTCCTCTAAAGTCTGGCTTTCAAAAGCAACGCAAAACCAGACTGAACAGTGGGTGTCCCTACATCGGGTCAGCAAGGTTATCATCCAATGAGATAATGTGTCCTTCTGTTGAGTACTGCCTACACTGGAGATGGAGACGGCTTGACAGAGGCCTCAGGCCTCAGCATCAAATGAGCAAGAGCTCTGGAAGGATCTGAGGTATGGGAAAAGACCAAATTTTAAATGGAGTGCTTTAGCCACTTAGCCAGGCCGTATTGCGTGTCCAGTACGCACAATATTTGGTGTTGCTCAGGCACTCTGCTCCTGGCCCACGAAGAATCTCCCCACTTTCACGTGCACTGTCCAATCAAAGTCCTGAGGCAGGCAGTCTACAGTCACTGCCTGTCTCTCTGCCTCCCCTTTACATCCCACCACTCCCTGTAAGATCCCAACAGAAGATACAGATACCCTCCAGGTGGCCACAGTCAGTGGGCACGTCCTGCCGCTGAACTAACACCCTCTACGCTTCTCTACACTCAGTGACCTCTCTGGTCCTCCACACTGCGTTCCCTGCCTGCTTCTGACACGCTGGGATACCCAGGATGTCACCCTTAGCCACCCCATCTATTTTTCTCACACGCTGGGATACCCAGGATGTCACCCTTAGCCGCCCCCTCTATTCTTCTCACACGCTGGGATACCCAGGATGTCACCCTTAGCCGCCCCCTCTATTCTCACAGCAACACTTTCCCTGGAGCTCTTCCCGTGTTTATTACTAAACCCTCATCAGTGTTTCGGTGATACTCATGATTGGACACACAGGGGTATTTAATATGTACCTGCGACAGCTTCACGGAACACGGGAGCTTATTTATGATTTCAGTCAAGATTTGAAACCTAAGATGCTTGCTTCCTAAGTCCTACAGTGAGCAACGGCACCATGTATCTCCTAAACTGAAGATGACTGTGGATTCTCAAGTCACAAACCACTTCCCCACCTAATAAAATCTTCCCTTCCTGGCTCTCTAACAGAACACTCTCATTCCCACCTGTGGTGTGCACATACGTAGGAGCAGCCAGAAGATGGCCTGTGTTTTTCTAGCTATAGGCAAACAACCTCCGAATGCCAGCTCTTCCATGTCTGCCTCAGCTGCAGAGCCCATCCCATCTAGGAGCACCTTACCTGGTCTGTGGACAAGAACCCATGAGTGGGGCAAACGCCTCTTGCCTGCAGCTCCCAGCAGATGCGGCCTTGTGCTGCTCCACAACGGGCCATCGCTGTGCTTTTACAAACTACCTGATTTCAAACACACTGCTATCCCTCTGGCTTCCCTCCCTGCCCTACACTAGGGGGACTCGGGTGCCCTCTGTCCTCTGGTGTGTTTGAGAAGTCTTGGAGTAACTGCTGTAGCTTTACACACTACTTCTACTGACTTCTGATGAGCCCAATCATAATATATGCTAACTTACTAAGCCCTTGCACACAATTGTACATGGTCAGCGTCATATGTTAAAAAAATCTTTGCCTGCTCCCAGTTGTGAAAATAATTTCTAATATTTTCTCTTAATCTCTCTTTTATATTTTCTGATTCACGGTTTTCACAACAGGAATCTGTTAGAAACATATACATAATAACATAAAGAAGGGAAGAGGCTTTTGCTTTCCTACTTAGACTGCACACTGCCCACTACTTTGATTGGCAGCTTAAGCTGGTGTTCTCTCTCCTTCATGCAATTATATATGAATCTGGAGTTCATATTTGAGCAGAGCTCATCTCCATGTTCTGAGTGCAGCTTAGGATTCTGATATGGGGGGGGGGGGAATGTCCTTCTTTCTGGTCATTTGATTTGTTCAAAACTATCTGGTCCTTTGCTGTCATGCTGATTGTAAAACGGGTAAATAAAATCCTTTTGGGATATGAATGAAATGAAGGAGCTGTATAGAAATGGCCTCCTATGGAAATTGAGTCTTAGCATCCACTAACCAGGCTGGCCTTTCAGGTACAGCTTCATAGATATGAATCGGTCAAGTTTTAGGATTTTTTTTTCATACATGTGTATTCTCTTAAAAATTGATTTACCCCTGGGTGTTTATGGTAGGATCTGTTGAGTGGTTCTTAAAACACATTCTCCTCTTCCTCCCAGGCACATGGACAGATTATGTGTCCTGCCCTCCTTCACAGCAGGTGACAGCATACAGGAGGTGGCTTTTTTCCCCTCCAGAATCCTCTAGGGGTGCATTACCACCAGCTGCCATTTGGATATGACAACATCAAGGTCATGACCACGGTGCACTAGAAAAACCTCTCAGCACAAGAAGGGACTCAAGTTCTGAAATCAAGCCCCAGCAGCCTGTTGCCTCACAACATCCTCTCCAGACAACTGAGGTGAAGCAATAAGAAGTGAAAACAGGTGGCTGGAGAGATGGCTCAAGGGTTAAGAACACCGGCTATTCTTCCAAAGGACCTGGGTTCAATTCCTAGCACCCACACGGCAGCTCACAACTGTCTGTAAATCCAGCTCCAGAGGACCTGAGGACACAGTCACACAGACACACATGCAGGCAATATACCAATGTATATAAAAATAAATAAATCTTTTTAAAAAAGAAGTAAAAACAGGTGGCCTGGTTTGCATAAAACCAAAAGCCATGAGCTTATACTTTTTGAAAAGCAATTAGAACGACTAACGATTTCCAGGTGTCACCTTTAGTTGCTCTTCAGGACAAAGAGGAAGTTTGCCCTTAATCAGGAGCCTTGAGACGCTGTTTCTTACCCTGCATTTTCTGAAGACAAACACATGCCAAATCGCTTGGTGCCGGTTTCCATGCATCTTCTTATCATGAGCCGATAGCTGGGCTCAAAGACATGGAGAGGGCAGGAAACCGTAGGGAAGGTCATGGCACACACAAAGATGGGCACATCTCGGGTCAGACTGCAGAGCAAGGGGAAATGTTAGCTTCGATGCGTAAGCTGTTCAGAACAGAAGCGAGCAGTTGCTATAGCAACCAGAGCAGCCAGCAGAACAACGTGAGCCTGACTCAGGGCTAAGTGTGCGATGACGTCTCCACTCAGCCAGTTTGCAGCCAAGTCTGTCCTCCTTAATGTCATGTTTGAGAATTTTAGAGCATCCTGTGTTATAGCACTGTACTTGGAAAACATACAGCTTTGGATTATACTTAAAATATTGCACAAAGCAAAAAGTACACAGCACACAAAGGCATCAAGTTTTACATAAGACGCGGAGGATCGACCGGGTCTACATGGAAACACACACTTTAACCAGCTGGAGAGAGGAAATTTCCATGAGTCACAATCCTGCTTCCTGTTCTGGTGTTTGCTTTTCCATTTAGAAAGATGGTCAGGTACAGAAAATAAATATGCAACTTTCAAAAAAATAGATTTTGAAATATTTCTTATGACTTACACTTATATACCCACAAATATTTTCCAACTAACCTTTTCTATTTAAAGGCCAAAAAAAATCTGTTATGAAAAAAAAAAACAAAATCTAAGATAAGGTGTCAATGAAGATTGTCCTCAGTATTCTGCACCAAAGACCGACTTCATGTGATAGAATCACTTACTCCGATAGTTCCAGCATTTCTTCATCGTGAATCCTCTTCCTATCAGACAGCTCATCTGGTAAGTACCGGAGTATCAGTTCTTCAACCAGAACAGTCACATGAAAGTTTCTGGTTGCCAACAACTGTAATAAAAGGTATATTAAATGATACCAAATGGCAATTACTCCTACAGGACAATGATCAGCACGGAGCTGGCTCTTGTTCTGTACATGTGAGAAAGGGGTTGCCGGGCATTTGCTGTTTGGGTGTCTAGTGCTCCCTGGCAATACAATAAAAACTGGACACTTGAAGTTTTTGTCCTCAAGGGGCTTATATTTAGTGAACGTCCAGGATGTTCCTGGATTTTTCGTTCCATTATGACTTTGTTGGTCAGCACACCGAGCGATTGGTATTACTGTGACATTTTCATCCACGTACATGATGCTCAGGTTTTGCTTCTTCGCCCAGCCTTTGTGAGACAGCGGGAAAAGTGCAAGCAAAAGGCTTGCGTTACAAACGGTCACAGAGGCCAGCTTTTGTTCTCATGAACATAGGGAGTCGTCCTCAGGTCCCTGGATCCCAGAAACACGGGTGCATCAGAGAACAGGGGAGGTGTGCCTGTCAGCAAGAGACGATACTAGCGTGGGGAAGACCACGGAGGAGCTCCCAAGTGAACTGCCACGTACACTCAGAACGTAAGGCACAGTATAACACTGATAACCATCCTGCGACCCCTGACAAGTCTAGAAATCTGCAATGTGAATGCAATTTAATAATGCAAGTGCATCATGCAACATAAGCCAAGTATGTACACACGTTTTAGAGAGGTAATGGTGATGACATATTTTAACATGCTTTGGCAACAAATTAGAAGTTATACTTGCTTTCTTTTTTATTTTATGTGTGTGGTTGTTTTTTTTATTGATTTTAATTGAGCTCTACATTTTTCTCTGCTCTCCTCCCTGCCTCCCCCCTCCCCACTTCAACCCTCCCCTAAGGTCCCCATGCTCCCAATTAACTCAGGGGATCTTGTCTTTTTCTACTTCCCACGGAGATCAGATCTATGTAAGTCTCTCTTAGTGTCCTCGTTGCTGTCTAAGTTCAATTTTATTTCATTTTAATATCCTCTCCTGCCACGTCGGACTTTTGAAAAGTTATTTAGCCTAGGAGGATGCTTCAGTGCGTGCTAGAGGGGGAGAAAGGAAAGGATAAAGCGTGTTATCTAGAAGCTGCATGTTTCTTCTGGAAGATAATTAAAACAGAGGTTACCAGTGAGAACAACAGAGCCAGCACACAGCTCTGCAATGCTATTCATTTCATCTGTCTTATCTGCACGCTCAGCATAAATGGACTCCAGAGTTTTGATTTGGGTTAAATGTCAACAGATAATTTCCATTTATACACTACATTTTACCGGCTTTGGCTTCGGACCAAAGGCAGTAGCGACTGATGACTGGGAAGAGCATAAAAGAGATTGGACAGCCGAGTGGAGCAACCCAGACACATGAGCGTATCACAGTATGTCAAACGGTTTGGTATGACTATATATATATCCTGATAGCTCTTTTCAACCTAACTCAATGATTTATACCTGAAAATTACTTTATTTGGCTACTTCTGCATCTAATGCTTCCTTATTGTTCTGGCTGATGAAAGAGGTGGGAAATGACCCATATTAGATTTTTTTTTTAAAAAAAAGTCTGATTTTTAACAAGTAGATGGTAGAAGAGAAGCATGAAATATTTATCAAAGCACAAGAGGGGCCTTTTGATTTCACAAACCACTTACTTCTGAAAGCTTGTCTTTGCACAGTGGGCAGTGTGGAGCATGGTCAAGGCAGCGCTGGAGGCATTTCAGGCAAAATGTGTGTCCGCAGGGCGTAGTGACAGGTTCAAAGAGCAACCTAGAAAGAAGACCATGGGTTTCCACCAGGATATCTCCAGAATAGACGTTCAAAAACCTGCTTAAAAGGATGCCCTATGCAGTTTCCATCCAGCCGTGGGAGTCATTTGTATCCATTCCTCTTGTACATCCTCACTAAACTTTTAGAAAGTAAATCAATTATTACTGATATATATTACGTTGGCTAATTTTACGTTATTTTGACACCAGCTATAGTCATTTAAGAAGAGGAAACCCTAATTGAGAAAAATGTCTTTATAAGATTGGGCTATAGGCAAGCCGTTAGAGCATTTTTTAAATTAGTGAATGATGTGGGAGGGACCAGTTGATTGTGGGTGAGGCCACCCCTGGGGTGGTGATCCTGGGTTCTAAAAATAATCAGGCTGAGCAAGCCATAGGGAGCAAGCCAGTAAGCAGCACCGTTCCACGGCCTCTGTACCAGCTCCTGTCTCCAGGTTCCTGCCCTGTTTGAATTCCTGTCCTGGCTTCCTTCATTGACAGACTACGGATGTTGAAGTGTAAGCCAAATAAACCTTTTCCTCCCCAAAACTGTTTTTGGTCATGGTGTTTTATCATAGCAGTAGTAACTCATATTAACACACACATACACACTCATACACACACACTTACACACACTTACACACTCACATACACTTACACACTCACACACACATGCGTATGTAGGCGTATATGTGCATCTTCAACAGCAGCCCTTGCATGTGGTTATAGAATTCACAAACACCCACTTTTTAAAAGACCTATATGAATTCTATCCAGCTCACCTCATACACAGAGCACACTCAAAGTCAGCAAGGTCAATCGTGAACTCTGGCTCCTCCAGAGAGTTCACGTTCCCCTGAGGTGAGGAATCCACATCTGAAAAATTTTCAAATGTTGTAACAAACATCCAAACTTCTGAGAAACACCCTATGACAAACGTATTTCTTCTGGACACAATGTTTCAATATCAGTGTTAACAAATGCTGCTGAAGAAAAATTCTTACAAGAATTGACCAAGGAGGTGTGAATTCAGGGAAAACCATCCAAGTGTTTGTTCTCTTCCTCACTATAAAGCCCCAACAAAATTTGCTCTAGAAAGAAAGCTGGTATACTCATTTCTGTATGGATTTTACTGTGTTAAGATCTTTTACAAATTCATCGGAGTACTCACTAATACTCTACCCTTTTGATTTCAGAATATCACGGCAAGCAACACTTAGCTGACCTTTCTTGGGAACTTTCTCGGGGGTGTTCCCATCACACTCATCTTCTGTGTCACTTGGGAGCTGTCTCTTTAAAGTGCTGCTCGGTGCTGCTGGAAAGACGCTTTCTAAAGCCTTTTTGTCCTCTTCACGGTTTTGGCCCATAATAAAATACAAAACCGAAGAATTGATTTCCTTCTTGACTGCATCAGACCTCTCAGATGGATTCTATCGAGAAAGAGAGAGAATCCTGGATATTGAAGAGCCATAGGATACAAGGGAAACAAAACCAAAGAAGCCGACATGCAGTAAGCCTTCTTAAAACTCTCTGGAAAGGGGCCGTGGGGAAAGCACTTATTGTACAAGCGTGAGCCTTGGGGTTAGAGCCTTGGAGCCTTGGGTTTGCATCTGTTTGCAAAAGCTGGGCATGTCTGTCACGTCAGTGTGAGGGGAGACAGCCAGGCCAGCTGAAACAGCATGCCTCAGGGTCAGCGAGAGGTCCTGTCTCAGAACATAAGTGGGAGCAACAGAAGATGACACCCAACAGTTACCCCTAGTCTCTACACACACAAAATCAACTTCTGAGGAAAAGGGAGTGCCCATGCTCCCGAGCCTGACTGGCTTTGTCAATCAGGTAATCAGATGTGCTTTACACTTCTCGTGGTAGAACACAGGATAATTTCTTTCCGAGAAGACCAATCTGCAAACCTATAGCCTATACATCAATGTATACATTATATATCACATGTCCAGATCTGTCTCTGCTTTCTTTTTTCTCCAAGACAAAATAATATGAGGTCTCCTGACGTTTAGGAGGTGTTCCTAAACAGTTTGGAGGGGCTCCGGGGCTCCCATCTGTGCTGTTCCGTTAGTTCTGCCCACTTCATTTAAAAGCTTTGACTAGTGTTTACATCTAGTCATAGGATCCATGATGCCCCGGGAACTGCCAAATAGTAAAGTCACCCAGCGGCAGACACATGCAATTCACACCTCAGGACTGCCCGTATTCGCGTTCCTGCCTTCTTCCACAGGACACTGGGGATTCATCTGGCCATCACAGTGGGCCTCTGGTCCACTTTGGGTAGAAGCTGTTGAATTCTGATGCTCACTTTCTGAAGCTGAAAACAACACCTCACATATTACCTGTAAATTTTTCAAGAAGAGAAAAGACGTTGTAAAAAATCCACTGGGTAGTGTGTGTGGGTCTCTAACATATTTTAGAGGTTCAGAGTCAACACAAGCCAAACAGGTCTGTAAAAAAAATGGCAAAGAACAACCACCGTATTCCAGCCACTAATCTCTTAAAATACTAACATTTTGAAACTATACATAATGTGTTAAGAACTGTAGATTCTAGCCCCTTTCCACCCATCTTACCAATGGTAAAATATGGGAATGTGCCCAGAGGAGGGAACCCAGAGACCCTTCTCTGCCTGAAAAACATGCTTCGAAGAAAGCAAGCTGTCCTTAAGTCCCCCCTAAGGCGGGTTCACACAACCGTGGGAGGAAAAACTGACTTGTGTTCCACTGTAGCACAAAGCAGAATGTGCTCATCAGCAGAGATCATAGTGTAGGCAGGCGGTAGCCGCGTGAGTTAAACCGTGTTCAAACAGGGAACACTGACAAAAGCAAACCAGAAACTCCCAGTCCCTGGAAATGCCACACAAAGACCAAGTGAGTACTGTCTAGGCATTTGGCTAGGATCCATTCCTAAAGTAAGCGTGACTCAGTACCTTCTGGACCACGCTGGTGAAGCGCAGCTGCACATCCCAGGTCAGTGTGCGGGGCAGAACTCTCCCTAGGATCAACACTCTGTCTCCACAGCCGTGGGCTGCAACCTGGCCTCCCGTGTCAGCCTCTCATCACAACTGAGGCAGGTGTACATCACCTCAGCAGACATTCTGCTGCATATCTAATTAGAGGTCCTCCAACGTGGCGCGTATGACTACGGTGTCGCTAACCGCACTATTGTGGGCATTTGAAATTACACGTGTTGCTCTCACAGGCAAGGGCTCCCGGCATGACACAAAGCCACACGTAACACCTGCAGGAGGAAGTCATTCACGAGAACACATACCTTGTGTGTTTCTTTCCTTGTTGACTTACATCCAGGATTTAAAGCAATGGAGTAGATAAATTCCTTCAGCCCTTCTTTACTTCTTCCCAATCCAGAAAGAATCTGAGCTTTTATACGGTGCCCCTGGATTTGCCCAAAGACAAACACAGCAAGATTATCTACATCTGGAGACAACAAGCCCCGGAAAATGTGTTAGAATGGTTTGCTACATCTTCAGATTAGGTGAATGGAAACAGTTCTTAAGACAAGATTCACTGTTTAATAAATACACCTACAATCAGAATGCATCAATGACTGTAACTGAGGTTCGTGCCCAAAGAAGTTCTAGAGGACATGCGAAGAAAGAAATGGAATCTATCAACCTAATTTTATTGTTTTTGATATTTATAAAATCCATATAATTTACAAAAACTGTTGAATAGCCAAGAAATTAGATTTATAAGATATTTATCATTACTCTTAAAGCTATCTTGAACAAAAGATCAAAGCCAGGTATACACATGAATTAATCTGAATTCAAAATATACTATAAATTATGACAGCAAAACAGTTATAATTTCTATATACCAGCAATCATCATTTGCTTAAATGTGTTCATGTGTGTGTGTGTGCCACAGGTATAGGTGACCTTAGAGGTCAAAAGAAGGTGTTGGGACTAAAAAGGCAGTGCGCTTTTTTATGTTTCTTTGATATTTTCATGTCTCTTTTACTAAAATACTGTTCAAATTCCTTAACCATTTAACCAGTTGTGTGGATTCCTACTGAATTGGTAAGCTCACTTCATATATGCTGAGTACAACTTCCCCTTATCATGCACTCTTCTCTGTTCCTAATTTGTGTTTAATTTTCATTTTTGCACCAATATCCTTTGAAGATCAGGAGTTTCAAATGTTTGGTGAAGACCTACTCACCAAATTCTTGCTTTTGTAATGTGTACTTTCTGGTCCCATTCGTTGGCCATTGATCTTACATTTATTTCCTTTCTTTTGTTCACCTCGCTTTTATTTAAGATTTATTTTTATTTCTGTGTCTGTGTGTGACTTTCTGAGTGTCTATGTCACCTGTACGCAGGTTTCTGCTGAGGCCAGAGGAAGATGGTGGATGCTCCTGAGCTAGAATTGAAGGCAGTTGTGAGCCACTCACCATGGCCAAACTCAAGTTGTCTGGAAGAACAGCAAGCCTTCTTAACCACTGAATCATCTTTCCAGTCTCTCATTTTTGGTTTGAATTTGCTCTTCTTGATCTAGCTTTAATCTTAGGATAGAAACTAGATTCTGGATCTTTGTCCTTTAGTAGGGGATGATGATATAAATTTCTTTCTAAGAACGACTTTAACTTGATCTAAGAAATCAAATGTACAATGTATTTTATCATTAACTTTAAATGATCACTGATTTGGGACCTTTGATCTTTAATAGGAGATGATAATAATATAAATTTCCCTCTAAGAATGACTTTAACTTCATTTAAGAAATTACATGTATAATATTTTTATCATTAATTTTAAGTATTTGACAGTTCTCTTTTGATTTCTTCTCTGTCCAAAGGACTACTTAAGAAATAAGTTGCAGCCAGGCTATGGTGGCGCACGCCTTTAATCCCAGCACTCGGGAGGCAGAGGCAGGCGGATCTCTGTGAGTTCGAGACCAGCCTGGTCTACAGAGCTAGTTCCAGGACAGGCACCAAAGCCACAGAGAAACCCTGTCTCGAAAAATAAAAAACAAAAAACAAAAACAAAAAGAAATAAGTTGCACTGAGAGAACATTCATTTGAAGACTTCAATATTTTGAATCTTGACGCTGTTTAATGCACACTGAATCCAACATATATTGCAAAAGATATGTATGCCATAGTTAATACATTGTCCTACAAGTGCCAGTTAGGGTGAGACGACGTCACCTTCTAAGTCTCTAAAGTATTCCTTAAGTTTCTACTGATAGTCTTGGAGAGTAATATGGTCATTTAATTTTTGCATACTTTATGTTTTCATAATACATTTTTACAGTCATTTAAACACGCTCACGTCTTCACATTTAAAGTGAATTTCTTGTGGATACTGTACTGTGGGTCTTGCTTTGCAGGCATGCTGACATCTCTTCCTACTTTGAATATGCTGCTCCCATGCTGACTGGCCTCCATAATGTCTCATGAGATGTTAAGCATCCATCTTGCTATTTCCCTATATGCCACGTTTTCTTGTCACTTTCAAGACTTCCTTAACAACTCTGGGCCTAAGCAGCAGATTGGTTGTGGTTTGAGTTATTATGTATGGCTTTTTGTTCATTCCAGGCATCTGAAATTAATGCTTCCGACTGTGGTAGTATGACTGTAACTGGCCCCCATAAGCTCATAGGGAGTGGCACTAGTAGAAGCTGTGGCTTTGTTGGAGTGGGTGTGGCCTTGTTGGAGGAAGTGTGTCACCGTGGGAGTGGGATTTGAGGTTTCCTATATGCTCAAGCCATGGGACTTGAGTTCTGATCCCAACCAGCCATGTGAAAACAGCTGGGAGGGTGACATACTGGGAGGGGAAGACAGGAGGATCCCAGCGGTTCACTGAGAGACCCTGAATCCAAATATAAGGCGGAGAAGCAATTGAGGAAGACACTGCAATGTTAACCTCTGGCTTCTCCATGTACTTACATAGGTGAGTGCAATGGCACAAACACACATATGCATACACCTTGTATGCACACTCCCCCGCTCACATGCACACATACACTCTCATACACAGCATTGTGCACCCCCCCACAATATGCCCACTCACATACACACACCCTCACACACAGACACACACAGACACACGTACATACACCATAACCTTAATCAAATGGACCCTTTCCGAAAGACAATGAAGAAGCATAAATCACCTTAGTCAGGAGAGGCTCCCTCTGACAGACCGTATCAGCATCCTGCATGGCTTGCTCATAGTTCTTTGTGGTTAGATATATCTCAGCTCGCAGCAGCAGGAGTGAGCTGTCATCGGGGGCTGAAAGACAGGGGAGAGATACAAGTGACTGCATTTTAAAGATACACTGCTTTCTGATATTAAAATATTAAGTTGGGAAATTAGCACAAAGACAAACACAAAACAATTTCCAGTGATCACATGTTGAGTTCACTGAGTACATAAACACAATTCACAGAGTTCCTTTCAGGAAAACAGAAATAAGTTTAACTAGTCTTCAAAATGCATCAGGGAAAAATAACATTAATCCTTCAAGCACACGAGTACAATCTGCAATAGCAAATCAAGTAATCTGAATCCAAAAAGCTTTCAAACCTGAGTTTTGGGTTTGGGGGTATTTCAGACTTTGAATTTTTAAATTAGAATTGGAAGACACTCAAAAAGAGAAAGAGAGCCTTTATAAAATGTGAAACACTTATAGATTCAGCTCTTTTGGACTGCAGAAATTCATGTTGTAAAATTAGGTATTTAAAAGGGACATATGAAATACATTTCATGGGAAGCACACTAAGAAATCCATTCTTTAAAACCTAATAGAGATGGAGGGGGTTATGGCTCGGTCAGTCAAGCTTTTGCCACCCAAGCACTGGGACCTCAGTCTGAACCCCAGCACCAAAGTCACATGGTACAGTGTAGCATGCCTGCATCACAACACTGGAGAGGCAAAGGCAAAATCCAGCCAAAGTGGAGCCTCAGGTTCAGTAAGAGGCCACGGATCAAAACTAAGATAGAGAGCAACTGAGGAAAACACCTGACACCAGCTTCCGGCCTCCACATTCACACGGATGGACACTATGCACACACAGCAACACAGGCATACACACGTGCCACACAGCAAGAAACAGGATCAGAAGAGTAAAACATAACTTTTTCCCTACCTAATCATGTGCATGCCAATTCACCTATGCAACTGTATTATATATACCTCAGAACCTTCTCAACTCTCCTCCCCATGTTCCTCACACAGAAGATACACTGATGACCATTCATTCCTGTGACATTACAGTCAAACACAGCTCTCAGAGAAGTCCAGGAGTGGTTCTCTCTGTGGGATGTCACATAGCACATACCTCCACAGCTGGTTTTCACACCTCTGGACTCTGCTCACTCCACCCCCATCTTCTCGGGATCCTCGCAGCTGCCCTTTCCCGTTGATAACTATGCTGAGCATTTAGACATATTCCTTTCTCTCTTCCTGAACACCGCTGTGGATTGCCTTGAAACCCTGACTTTGACCTCAAAAGTCTCACCTGGGCCTTTGCAAAGGTCAGCAGGCTTCCTATTAGTTTATGTAGATAACCAAGCAAATGTGCAGCGAAAAACTCATGCAAGACAGGGCTGAAGGCATGGGAAGCTGCAAAAGAACTGTTATGGACACATGCTATTGAGAGGCGTGGCAGGGAAAGGGTGGGGCAATGGGGAGCAGGAGCCACAGGAAGACATTCACAAGGTTTTGTGGTGTTTTTTTTTTTTTTAAACTGAAACAAATCAAAACATAACAGCAATTGTTTCTCACGGAACTGTAATTGAAGGTAAACAACACAAAAGGGCTTCAGGAAGTTCCTGAAACTGGCAAGACTCGCTAACCCCTCCCTCTCAATAGCAAACAATAAAGACTGCTGAGAGTCAAGCTGCCAGGAGGACTCTTACTTAGACAAGCTACGATGACTCTCAGATGAGCCAAGCTGCAAGCAAGAAACAGGAATCAGCCAAGAAGCCTGGAAGGAACAGAAACCAGCCATGCTGCCAGGAAGAGGTGTAGACAGAGCCACCTGGAGCTGCCTTCAAGTTGTACAGGATAGTATAAATATCCAGTTTTTATGAGATGTCACCCAAGCTAGTGTAGGCTTTGGTGACGCACCTGTCTTTGAGTTATTTCTGCTACTGTGAGTAACCCCTCCTTTAAGTAAAACTCATTGGTTCTACGATTTGAACTTCAACTGTATCTGTGTTTTGGTGTGTGTTACATCTCCCCAGGAAAAGTCGTGTCATTGTTCGTCTCTGGTAACACAGGCCTATTATGAAATGTTTTGGTAAAGGGAGAATGTTTCCCTTAAGGCTCAAAGCTCTCCCATCCACACCATCAAGTGAATATGTCCATCTGTTAGCTATGATCCATAATGAGATCATAGATGTTCCATCTTTGAAAATGTACATGCAGACTGAGAGGCACTGACAGAGCTCATAAGCAAGTGTGTGATCTTTAAAAACGTTTTGTTGTATGTGTACGGGTGATTTGCCTATATGTAAGTCTGTGTACCGCATGTATGCTTGGTGCCCTCAGAGGTCACAACAGGGCATTGAATCCTCTGCAACTGTATTAAAGACGGTTGTGCACTGCTGTGTGCACTCTGGAAATCAAACCCAGGTCCTCTGCAAGAGCAGCCAGTGCTCTTAACTTCTGAGTCATCTCTCCTGCTCCGAGTGTATGATTATTTTTTTTTAAAAAAAAACATATGCTTTCTTTATTTTTTTATTTTTTTTAAAAAAGTATTTATTTATTTATTATGTATACAATATTCTGTCTGTGTGTATGACCGCAGGCCAGAAGAGGGCACCAGACCCCATTACAGATGGTTGTGAGCCACCATGTGGTTGCTGGGAATTGAACTCAGGACCTTTGGAAGAGCAGGCAATGCTCTTAACCTCTGAGCTATTTCTCCAGCCCCCTGCTTTCTTTATTTTTGAGAATTTCATACATGTATACGCTGAAATATGATCATATCCACCCCATCTCCCCATTCCAACTTCACTAATATCCTTCTCAGCTTTATTAATTCCAACATTCATTGTATTCAGTGAATTATAAGAAAAAAAATTTTTAAAGGAGACTTTTCACTGCCTGGCAGAAAACTATTCTTAATTCTCAGAGGATCTGCCTTTTTTTAAAGTGTGTCATTATATGGGAAATAGAACTGCAGACTAATAACTTCTACCTGAAAGATCAGGTAAAAGTTCCTTAACTGCACAATTCCGTGCCTTTTGATATCTCCCCATGGGAGGTTTTGAGAGATCCAAACCAAAGAAGCTACTGGAATTGCAAACTGAGCTTCAAAGACAAGTCATCCATGGACTTCATACCCTGCGCTCACGACATGAGTTTCTCATGGATCCCGACGGTTTGCCAACTGGTTCTCTCGAGTTTCCCACACAGCCGTATCATACGCAGATAATTAGATTTCTTTTACTGTCATATTTCCAGCCCCCATCTCCCTTCACTCTCATGTCGCAAAGGTATTGACAGCAAATCTGCATCCTCTCCCTCAGTAGGGATTTAATCCACATGCCCACACATCTCCCCCCTCCCGTTCTTGACTTCAAAAAAGGCCTGGGGAGATGGCTCAGTAGCTGCGAGCACTGCTGCTCTTCCAGAGGACCTGGGTTCAATTGCCAGCACCCACACGGTAGTGCACAACCATCTGCAATCCAGTTCCAGGGGATCCGATGCCCTCATCTGGCGACGCGCGCATACATGTGAATCGGTGATGTCATCTCGCCCTGACTTTATTTCATGGCATTCCTCAGCCTGCCACCCCAATAGCCACATCCACATTGGTAATGCTTTCTGTGAGACTGTCCGTGACCCCTAACATGGTCTAGACATAGTAACCAGAATAGCTGGTGTCTGTGCAGGCTAAAACTAAAATAACGACGTGGAAGTGAAAATTAGAAATAATTGCCATGTAGTGTCTGGAAAATACCATTAAGCCCTGCAAAAAAAGGCAGATGTTGTTCTGACCCCCCTCCTCCCTCCTGGACACTGATGTAATTATGGGTTGTCTTGAAAATCCTGCACTCTTGAGCCCCGCACCAAGAGACTCCATGTCTTCCGTGTGTATTTTGGATATTTATTCGTGTAACCTGCAGTGACCACTCAGGACATACCCAGGACTGAAGATGTTCCCTTTGTGCTTTGCCACTTGGCAGACCCCTGGGAAGAGTGACTACCACTCTGACGGTCACTGGCAGTTGATGCCAATATGACTGGGTACCACTGCAGTAGTGTTTAGGAGCCAATGTACTGCAATACATGTTTTCTAACTAATCAGTTAGTGAATGCTGGTATCACAGTGCACATGTGGATGTCAGATAACAACTCTCAGGAACTTTCTCCTGAGACCCTGTAAGAACGGAGGATCAAAGTAGGTCTGTGCACAAGTGATCCTACCCACCGAGTCATCTCACCGGCTCAGTATAGTGTTCTCATTACCATTCAGGACAAATGTTTCCTTGTTTTTAATTGTGATTTTTTTTTATCTGACCTGTTGGTAACAGTGTGGTTGAAAGCTCCCCAAGTGTACAGAGAAATCCTGCTCTATTGTTAAGAAGTATTAAGAGGTGGGACCGAATGAAGATATCAGGCCAGAGGGCTTTGCCCGCATGGACAGGCTAAAGAGGCTAACACAAGGGCAGGTTAGTTAGGAAGGACATCTAAGCAAGCTCTGTGCTCCCTGCTGTGTCTTGTTTTACAATGCCCTCTGCTACTGCAGAGCAAGAACCTCTGATACTGGATTTCTCAGCCTTCACAACTATGTGAAATCAGTGTCTTTCTTTTATAAATTGGTCAGTTTGTGGTATTTCGTTATGGCGGCAGAAGACAGACTAAGACACGTTACATGTTAACGTTAAACATGCATTGCTTTGTTTCCAAACATCTGGTGACTGCCTACTTACCTATTGCTTAATTTTCCTTTAGTGTTCGAGTAACACCTTTGTTTGATTTCAACCTTTTAATTTATTGCATTTATTTTATAGTCTAACCTAGGCATCAGCCTACACAGCAACAGGTCCTGTGAATTCAAACAGGTGATATATTCTGCGGGTACTCCATGTAGTAACACCTATTAAAAGACTCTGGGGCATCTCAGCATTACTGCCCCTTGCCCTGGAACCAGGAACCTGATAATCACCCTCATGTGCACTGGAGCTTTGAGTACTTTCCCCTGGAATTCTCCATCCCCTTTGCAGTTTTTTTTCAATAAATCAAGGCCCTAGAACTGGGGAAAAACGACCTGCAGGTG